GTTATTAATAATAATATTAAATTATACATAGTTATAAATCTTAGCAAACGCTCTAATTTTTTTATAAAATTATGCATTTTATAACGATATTACATTGAATAAATTTAGTAAATTTTACAAGTAAATGATAATATGAAACATCATTATTCTAAACATTATACCATAATGTCGAGTGATAATAATATAAAATAAAATGGATGTATAAAACTATAAAATGTTTGTCTAAGATATAACACTTTCAAGTTTAAAAAGTAATTATTGTTTTGTTAAAAATGGAATGGTTATTATGTGACGTTTCTTCTTTAATGTATATGGCCTAAATATCTCTATATATTTGACGTTATTATACAGATCAAAAAGAATACATTTACGTAACATTTGCATAAAGTAAGAACTTTAAAGTTTAAGCCAATTCTGACTAGTAATTTACAAAATAACAAACACATTTCTTAAAAAAATTCTGAATCAAAATACTTTTCCGGTTTTCATCTTCAATTCTGCAAAAAATTGAAAAGTTCAGGTGATAATTCAAGAAATATCCACCTATAAAAGACTAAACAATTATCAGGTTGATCAAGTTAGTGTAATACCAAATTTAATAAATTGTCTGATTAAATAATCAAGTATATTAAATGATCGCGTATATTATAAGGCTATTAATTCCTAAAAAGTCAATTAACCACTATTTTATTTAAGACTATTTATTTTGTACATTTTTTTTTTTAAAAAAAAAAACTTTCTTTCTGAAAGTAGAGTCTGCCTCCTATACCGTTTGCCATCATGCATAGTGTGTTATAGGAAAAGGCGAACTTGAATTATATAGGTGTAAGCTTATGTTATATAGGCGTAAAGCTTATATAATTAACGCAATGAAAATCCTTTAATCAAGGGTTAAAATAGGCATGATGGGATATTCTCATATATCATGAGCTCTGTCTGTTCGAAGTATCGTTTTATATATAATTAAGTAGGCTTAAGTCGTAAGTAACTTTTTTATAACATTGATTATTGGAGAATTAAGTGGCAAAAATAATTTTTAGTTTGTAAGACTTTAACTCCATACCAACTTGTGTGTGTTTGGCGTATATTTTATTCCCTAACCCTTAGACCCACTCGTGGGTTGGTATGTTGCTTTGCACTTCTTGCAGCCTATCTTTAATGGGTTTTAGGTCCACGTTTGCCCATTTAAAATTTATTAAACAGGATGTCATTCGTCCAAACACATTGCAACGTTTGTTGATGAAGCTATGGTTGTCTAATAAAAGTTCGCTTTGCCAGGCAATTTATGGTGGATTCAATGGATCAAATTACAAACAACAATAATGCAGTCATATGAGAATTCCAGGCCAAAGAATAAGGGTGAATTGTCAAAGTTGAGAATCTGTTTGTATTTTTTTTTTAAAGCCGTCATTCTCATGAACTTTTTCATTGTATCCCTAAATTCAATGATTTTGGTAATGATGAAACTGCAGTTGTTTATAGGGGTTTCCCGCCAAACTTCTGAGGTGAATTTATGTCTGGTGTTTTCGAATATACTTATCCTTTTTGCAATAGAGTCGTAGCGCGTCTTCTTAAAGCGTACCTGTGACACCCCATCCAACTTGGGCAGTGTCGCTGAATCTAAAGCAAGGTACCCGGTTAATCCTCAACTTTGGGTTGATGAGTTATGATTCTGGAGTATTAAGGCATAATGTTTTGACTTACATCACCAATTTAACTCATAATTCTAATTTATTGAATTAGTTTATTATAGATTTATTGATATTTTTTTTTATCTGTTATATAATATTTAAACTAATGTATACTTTATCTGTAATTAAAATTGTTATTGTAATAAATAACCGGTAACTTAAATCTATTATTGAAATTAACTTTTAAATTAGATTACAAATTATTAAATATTATAAAATTGAATTTAACGATATTTGATTGATTTGATATTTTTAAAGGTAAATTCAATATTTATAGATAATATCATTTTGATATTATTTTGATACTGAATTAATATTAAAATAATATTATATTGATATTGCATTTATTAAAAAAAAATCATTATTGTTATAACAATATCAAAATGATATCGTTTAGTTATTTGTCAATATCGATTAGATAATTATAAAGTGATATCTTTACGATATCATATTGATATTGAATTAATGTTGGAACGATATCATATTAATATCGTATTTACTTCCCATTTTTCAAAAAATTCATTGTTGTTATAACAATATCGAAATGATATCATTGCGATATCATAATGATATCATTTGCAAATCGATATCGCCACGATATTTATTTAACATCATTATTATATCAATTCGGTATTGTTTAAAAATTCAAGGTTTCTGTAAAGAATGTTTCAGAAATTTCGGTCACATAATTTTGTTCTATTAATGGCGTTTCCTTATAGAAAACCAACTTTGAAGCAAATAATTCTTGCTTAAGCTTATTAACACTTCTCCTCTTCTTGCACTTTGAATTCTGTTCACTACCTATCTTCTCTTCTGGAGGTACTTCCCCACCATCTTCTTAGGCTTGAAGTTTCTTCTTCCTATTGCGTTGTCTAATCTCATCACTAATCTTTTTCTTACGTACTTCATCCAAGAAAGCATTTGTTTCTTTATCTTCTAAGGTTGTCTGATCACATTGGTCCATAACAGATATGTTAACAGCTGATACCGATTGCTTTGCAATCACCTCTGGAATCAGTTCTTCAGGTAATGAAGTATCCATTTTCTTATCCACTAACGGTTTCTCATGATGTGTTGCCATGGATAACTGATCTGCAACCGAATTGAAGTTAGGTGAACTGTTATTAGAGGAAGTATCATTTAGCATTTACCTCTATTCCACTTTTGTAATTCTATCTCTAAACTCAGCATTCTCAGACTCGAGTTTAGTGGTAACTGTCTTATTTTTCTCTAGTTCCTTGATTTTGGCCTTGAGTTCGGCATTCTCAACATCACGTCTCTTACTCTCTTCCACAGCCTGTCTTAGAATCTCGGCAATCCTGGCCTTAAGCTCAACTTTCTCAGACTCAATCTCAGCAAACTTCCTTTTAAGATCAGGGATCTCAGCATTCTTGTCCTTAAGCTCAGCATTCACCTTCATAAGCTCAGAAATCTCAGCTAAGAGCTTGGAATTTAATTCTCTCAATGAATCGATGGATTGCATGTTCGATAATAATTTTTTATATGAGATGGGATAATTCAAAAGTTAGTTAGCATAGATAAAAAACAAGGCAATATCCTCATCGGAATTTCTGATTTATTGATGTAAAAAAATAAATTACAAGATTCGGTAATACATAAACTTGTTTTACAAAGTGAAGTAGAGTCTCTATACTAATGCCTGCTGGTGTTTCATTCATCTAAACTATCTATACTAACATAATATCCTAACATTAACTCTAATCCAATTTCATTTACCCAACGTCAATATTCTGGATAGAATAAAATAGTCAATTATACATAGAATACGCACGGAGTCAGAAATAAATTAGCAATATTAAAACTCACCAAAAGTTTATGTTCTCTGCCTAATAAGGTCCTTGAAAGTTCTGAACAAAAAAATAGATATTGGCTTTGCAAGCTCTGAGTCGCTTCCTTGTAAACGCACAGTCATAACCGAAATATTCATATCTTGTCTTAGTTTCGCCGATCAGGAATTATTTTGATTGGCACTCTCATGTGACATTGTGACATGTGGCTGATTTTTGATTGATAAATTTTTTTCGTAATTTTGTATTTGATCCTTGACATATCGCTGACTCAGTTCGTAGTATTATTGACTTACAGTTCGTAGTAATTAGTCAACAACCGTTTATGGAAACATATATATATATGATAAATAATCAAAATGTCGAATTATTCTTCGCTATTTCGAGTACTTTTGCCATCCCGGGTACAAACTAAATTCGAGGAAAAATAAAAGTCTTTTATTTGTGTTATACTGGAAAATTACTTTTTGATCATTGTTTTTAACACTCGATTTCCGCGTTTGCAGATATACTGACATTATGATATTTTGCCTCGTTCAAGGTGACGCTATTAAAAACTCTTTCCCGATTGATACTAGAAATTACGCGACCTTTGGGCACCTCAGAACAGCCATAAAGGACGCGAAACAAAATGCCTTCGTTGGTATTGACGCAGACAGACTGACATTATGGAAGGTCGATATTATTCAAACAAAGGAAAATCAAGAAGTGATCGTAAAAGAGCACAAAGGTGTAGAGTTGCATTCATTCGAATCTGTTGGAAGTTATTTTCAAGAAACACCCACTAGTACTAACATCAGCATCATCGTGGAACCACCACCGCCCGCCAACACTGGTAAGTGTCTCCCAATGGTTTACCTAATGTTAATTTTGTACTAGTTCACTAAATTTAAATAATCTTTCTCGTACAGGTCTTAAACGGCCAAATTCCGAATCCCATTTTCAAAACCGGAGGATGCGTAAACTCGTGAAAACTGAAGGACCTGTAGATATCACAAAAAATTTTTATGTTCCATTTGATATTCTGGAATCAACCTATAAGCTAGAGGAGGCCATAAATGAAAAGGTGTGCGTGCTCCTAGTGGGTCATTTTCAATCTGGAAAATCATCAACTCTACATTATTTGAGTGGCACCAAAGAGAATTATTTTTATATACAAGCTTCAATGTTAGCAAACGGATTCCTGAATGGATTGTGCGACCAACTTTCTTTGAATTTATGTAATAACATAAGTGAATTCGATCGTGAAATCGTTCAATTATACAAGAAGCAGATTGTAATCATGATCGACGAATTTGACCGATTCTTACTTAATCAAAACAAAAGCCCTGTGGATACAATTGATCAGATGAGAGAACTCATCAAGCTTGTAAATGATAGGGGAGAAAGAGGAATCAAATCGGTCATTTTTGCGGGCAGTTTTGCAATTACTACAATACTTGAAAATGGAAGTCATCAAGTTAAAAAAGTCATTGAAATATCATCACAGGAGTCATCACAGGAATTACCACAGGACAATTTGTTAGACGATAGCTTGTTGAGGAAACAGACTCAGTCCTGTCTTCAAAAGCCTGAAGGAGTTCCATCACCATTAAATTCAGCAAAAATTATTGAGGCGTCAGATTTTACCAAAGAACAGCATATACAATTCTATTATGATATCCAAGAGAATTTAAATCTCCGTTTTAATGAAAAGGTTGTGGATGATATTTACAGCCTTACTAATGGTTACGCTGGATTAGAAGGGTTACTTGCATCCCTGTGCATTCAATATGGTAGCAATGAGGAAACTCTTGAATTTAATGCATGGAACGATCTTTTCACAGAATTCATTCGTAATCCCACAAAGAAAAAGATTAGTGCGGTTAAACACATTGAAAAATACCTTTCTGAGCCAGTTAATAGCAGTAATAATCACTTTATCAAAGATACAAAGAAACTTTTAGAGCGCTTTTTACGAAAGGGAACTCTGCATTCATCAGAAATCAATGACGAAGATTTAGTTGCCATTGTACACCTGCGTGCAATTGGAATCATAAGGGATATGGGAAATGAGATTCTTGGATTCACTTCTAACATCATTCTCGATCTGTTGTCAGACAATTATTATCCTGTTTTCAGACGAGATGCTTTAGCAAGAATTCCGCATATTAACTCTCCTCAAGACTTTTTAAGTAAGACATTGGATCTTTTTAAACACATCCGTTATAATGAGATTTTCGATCCCTTGGCCGCGAATCAACATTCTTTTTCTGAATCAACAATCCAAGGAGAGCTTTATGCTCTATTACGTATGGCTGTATCATATCCAACATATAGGATTTTTCGTGAAACTAGAACTTTAGAGAAATCTGAAAAAAAATGTAATGTCTGGGTATGTAATAACAAGGAGTATGGAATTGAATGCAAAGTTGACAAAGTTTCTGAAAAAGAGATAAAAAAGGCGGCTGAACAGGCTATTGAGTATACAAAAGGGCAAGACAAAGTGTGCGGTATGTTTGTCTTTAACTTTGTGCCATCTGACAGTAAAGCCAACAATTGTCAACTTTTTTTTCCGAATGTAATTAAGCCGAGGAATGATATCTATTTTGAAACAGTCCATATATTATATTCTAAAACATCTCGTAGTGCACAAATCTTTCGTAATAATATGGACAAAACTGAGATTCCTTTCGCATTGAGTTAATCAAATAAAATACTGCTTATTTTATAAAATGCTTAAAGGAAATATATACTTTGAATTAAATAAATAAATGTTTGTAATGCTTTCGATCATTTTATTTTTCCGATTCATGCATGCAAAACTTTATTAATAATTTTTTAGATACTAAAAATAAAAATGTAAGAGTGCAAGTGAAATATATTTCTAGTTTCTATTACTACTATTGCTAACACCAGATTTCCGAAGTAAATTATCCAACCCACATCCACAAAATTTCGTATTCCCAACCTATAAAATATCAATTTTAGCTAGTGAACTTTGCCGAGATTAAATAATTTCGAATCTATAGCATAAATTCGGAGGATTAGCGACTGAGGTAAAAATAAGCAATGCGATGTTTCAGATTCACACTTGCCAATTTTCATTCGTAAATTATATGCAATTACTTATTTCAGGGATACATGATGTCTAACATTACTGCGCATTTATTTATCAGCATATTCGATTACAACTTTCATGTAGGACGCAATTTACTTTATCCAAGTGAGACTTTAGGTCTCACTTTTTTTATTCACCATACATCTATATCTCATGCTTGATACAATGTATGCCTTTTCAGCCGAATTCTTTATTGATGTAAACAAATTACACAGAGAGTAACGTATTAAATAATACATGCGAAAAATAAAATAAATACAAATGTTCGGGACTGTGCCCGTGATACAACTGATACATGACGTCTATGCTAATGTCTAATCCTACAGTCTAACTAACCACCTTACATTTACGTGACTTGGAAGTTCGCCCCTCCTTCTTTACGAAATGTCTGTAAAATACATGATTATTAATTATAAGACACTAGGATTACAGGAAATCACAATACAGTAATTTGCGAAATAGTTAGACTCTTACACAA